GCAGCCAGGAAAATATTAAAGTAGAGGTGGTGTGGTCATCTGAAGCCTGGCACAGGAGACAGGGAGGAGGGACATTCTCTTGGGATCACAGAAAGAAATCTGGGGTTTAATTTAAATAATTTACCTTCTTGGGGGGTGGCGGGGGGGGGGGGGGGGAAGACCAAAACCAAATTACACTTGAGAAGTATCTCCAAATCTTAATCCTTGTAGGTGTAAATCACATCCATATTACCTGACTTTATAAGAGAGATACATCTTAGATACATCTCTAAGTACACACCAAGCTTAGACACAGAAAGGTTTCTTTTCTAGCATGTTTAGAAATGATCATGAGATATAAATAGACATTATTGCTCTTCTGTTGGGAGGAGGTGTTGCCTACAATGCTTTCCCTCCAGCATGGGTTCTGCGGTGGGCACTGAAGTGTGAGCTGTTGTTGAAGTCTTTGCCGCACTCCGTGCACTTGTAGGGTTTCTCCCCGGTATGAATCCTCTGATGAATGATAAGACTGGAGCTCTGATTAAAGCGCTTTCCGCACTCTCCACACTTGTACGGCTTCTCTCCGGTGTGAATTCTCTGGTGAGTGATGAGGTTGGAGCGGTCGCGGAAGAACTTCCCACACTCGAGGCATCTGTAGGGCTTCTCCCCCGTGTGGACTCTGTGGTGGGTGGTGAGCTTGGAGCGCTCGCTGAAGCACTTTCCGCAGTCTGCACACTTATATGGCTTCTCGCCGGTGTGCGTCCGTTGGTGGTTGGCCAGGGTGGAGCTCTTACTGAAGCTCTTCCCACACTCTCTACATTCATGAGGCTTCTCACCTGTGTGGATTCTTTGGTGGCTGATGAGGGCAGAGCTCTTAGAGAAACACCTTCCACACTCAGGACATGGATACAGCTTCTCCCCTGAGTTGGTGCTGCAGGGTCCGGGAGAGTTCATGCTTCCACTGACATCCTGAGCTTCTTTGGGTATCTCCTGTGAAGAACTTCTCCATTGAGCACTAAAAGATGGACTTTGGCTGAAGTTCTCCCCAGGCTCATTACACTGGTCAGGATTTCCTCCAGAGTGGAGCCTCTGATGTTTCAGTAGGTTTGAGATCTGCTTGAAGCTTTTCCAACACTCCCCACATGTATAGGGCTTCTCCCCTGTATGGCTTCTCTGATGGGCGATGAGACTGGAGTGGTCCCTGAAGCCTTTCCCGCACTCCAGGCATCTGGAGGGCTTCTCTCCAGCATGGGTTCTCTGGTGGGCACTGAGGTTGGAGCGCTCACTAAAACTTTTTCCACACTCAAGACATTTGTAGGGCTTCTCCCCTGGGTAGGTTCCGGGTTGGGCCATGAAGTGGAAGCTCCTACTGCAGTTTTTCACCCACGTGTCACATCTGTAGGCTTTCTCTGTGAGGTATAGGCCTTGATGGTCAATGAGTTTTTCCAAGTCCTCCTCAGAGGAACACTCTTCCCACAGGGGAGCACTCCTCCACTCCCCCTCATCTTCATCTTCATTCTCATTGTCATTGTCCTCCCCCCAGTCAGGAGGCTGGCAAACGGCTTCTGTGGTATATTTTGATAATGCTCCAGGCAAATCACCAAAAACATCCTGCTCTGAAGTTTGGTCTTCGTCCTCATGCTTCCAATCAAACCCTGAAAAAACAGACAGAGACAGAGTTTTTGGTCATCCATTGGTTAGCATTAATATACCTGTATCAGGTATTTTGTGGATTTGGCTAACACAGATTTGGATCTTATATCCCACAGCTTATAAATGTGACTAGCGTGAAAGTTATCAAGTTTTTGTGTACACACATGCTTCTAACCCTGAAAAGCTGAGGAGTGATCCAGAATACATTAATCCCACCCCAGTAGCCATGCATCCATTCTTCTGAAGTCCATGTTCAATAATAAACAGCTCATATCAGCCTCTAATACATTGAAAAGATCTGTGTCTTATAAGACTGAATCAGTTCCATAATTACCCAGATGTGTCCCGGTAAAAGCTAGGTTGGCCACCTCATGTGCAGGACAACACTAAATAAGAGATGATAGGATCCATGCAATGTACAAAATCTTTTCCTATTCGATCTCCTTCATTCTTTTGGCTCAGAGACAAAGATAATATACCTGGTTCCCAAAGGGCTCTAGTAGGTCTGAGCATGGCAAACATGGCCCTGGCAGGCCTTGCTAAAAACCATTAGAGTACATTTCTAAAGCTAGCCACCAAGGTCTATTCCCTTATTTGGCCACTTCCTCCTCCTGAGGCTGACCACCAAGGTCCAGCCATCAAAGTATTGAAGTTGGGCAATCAGAAGTCCCCTTTTGGCTACCTTAATTAACATGCCCAACCAAAACAACCCAACTCATCCTAACAGGGGGTTTCCCTTTATAAACTGCCATTTACCTATGGGGCACATCTGTCTCCTCTCTATCAAGAGGCAGCTCTTTGTCCCTCGGGGCAAATGTCCCTTCCTGGCCTCCCCCTTGTTCCTTTCCCCTTCTCCCTTATCCTCTATCTCCTGTCTTTGTCCCTCTGGAGCAAATGAATCTCCTTGGTGCTGAGAACTTGGTCTTAGGGTGCATTGTACCAATTCCAGTCCTTCCAGTCCCCTCTTTGTACAGGCTGCAGGCTCTGCTGACACCCAGTGACTCCAGGATCACCTGTATCTGGAGTTTGGGAATCTGGCAGAAGTTTAATGGCATCTTCATCTTCCATCTCACCCCAGGCCTCTTGGTCATCAGCCTCAGTGCCACTCTGCCCAGATCCAGGAAGACCTCTGGCTTCTCCTACTATCTCCATGGCCCTGATCACAGTCCGAGCCCTCATCAGTGAGTCCAGCTCCTCGTAGAAGGGGCAGGTCCCTGGTGGACGGCTGCTCTTGGCTTTCCGGTAGCTTCGAAGAAGGTTCTTGAATCTGTAGCGACACTGCTCCAGTGTCCGCAGGAAACCCAGCGCACACAGCCGCTCTGCGATAGCCCGGTATATCTGGCTGTTCTGGTGACAGGTACGAAGTTTTTCAGAGAATGGGGACTCACTGAGAATTGCCAGGAAGGCCTTGGTCTCCTCGAAGCCCCAGTGCACACCTGCTGTCAGAGTGAAGAGTTCAGAGGTGTAAGACTTAAGGAGCTTTACCTGGTCATTAGGACTGGGGTCACCTGACTTCTACGTAGCTAGAACACAGGTCTCAAACTGTCCAAGTACCTGAAAACACAAACTTGCTTCTCAGAGGTATGCTAGGAAGGTCAGCCAAGGCATCCTCTCTCCCCCTTTCAAGAGACAGTCTTGCTGAAAGGGAGAAATAAGTGGCCAGGTTTTAGCAACTGCATCACGTGACCCACTCCCTTGGCTTCAGGCGATGAGTCACTGAGATCCATGAGATTCTCCCTGTAATCATTCAGAAGACAGCCTGTCTCCTTCGTGAATTCTCCTTTCAACAATACATTGAGTATGAGCATCCTAAGGACCAGACACAAATGGGCCTGAATAACCAGGTGACAGACTATAGCTCAGGACACCCCTTCCTCTCTGGTCAGAGGGAAAAGGGCACAGTGCAGTCTCCATTCCAGTGCAGGTAAGAGATGTAACCCAAGGAGGTAGCATGGGATCTGGGGAGACCACGAGAACATGAGGCAGGAGCCCAGGCTCTGCTCCTACCTATGTGGCTTCAGGTGCTTTATGTCACAGATGTCCCTTTGCAAGACTAGGTGTTTGCCACACAATGACTCTCAAGTCTACACTATGAGTCTCTTCTCTACGTTTCACTGTTTCACCAACTCTTCCTTAACCCAAATTTACTATCTGTGAATTATCAGGATGTTGTCTCAGACACTAAGAGAAACACGCCTACAGAAATGAAAAATTCACTCAGGTGCCATCTAGGAGAGTCACCAGTGACTCACAGTGGGGAGCAGCTGGAGCCTCTCCAGATCTAGCAGGGCTTTGGAGTGATTTCCCCTATAGCCCAGGAGATGTGGCCACCAAGAAGACAGTGTGAGCCTGAGGACGGTTGAGAGACTTGGCTCCTTACTCTGGTGTCACTGGTATGACTCCTAGTCTGAGCTCTAACCTAGGAAGCAGCGGCCTGGCTGGCATTCATCCAGTTAAACGCCACGTTCTTACCAATGCGGCTCGGGAGCACGGCTGGGCCCCCTGAAATCCTGGGACCCTGGACAGACTCCTCCGTGGCCAGGCCAGAACCATTGCAGTCTTCTGTTGCCTCCTCGGGCTCCCAGCTCCCTTCCTCTTGGTCATCCATCTCAGTGTCACTGTCACCCAGCCTGGGGAATGCCACAGCTTCTCCTGGCCCACTTGAGGTTCTTCTGATAGTTGCCTGAGCCCTCACCAGAGCCTCCAGCTCCTCGTAGAAAGGGCACGTTCCTGGTGGGTGACTGTTCTTGGCTTTCCGGTAATTCCGTAGAAGGTTTTTGACCCTGTAGCGACACTGCTCCAGGGTCCGAAAGAAGCCCCGCTCCCTCAGGCGCTCTGCAATAGCCCGGTATACCTGGCGGTTTTGGTGACAAGTCCGGAGCTTTTCAGAGAAAGGAGATTCACTTAAAATTGCCAGGAAGGTCTTGGTCTCCTCATAGCTCCAGTGCACACCCGACACCTTCACGTCCTCCCCATCACACTGGCATTGTTCTTCCCAGGCCCTGGAGTCCTCCTGGGCTGGCTTGTTTTGCTCACTGTCCAAGCTATAATCTGCAGGACTCCCATTCCCAGAATTTATAAGGCTCAGACCCAAAATCTCTGGTCCTTGCTCATGCTGGGAGGTGACACTTGGCTTTGAAACTGGAACTCCTACACAAGTGGAAGAACAGAAATGACTGAGCAGAAATGACTTGTACTGTTTCTCTAACTGTTCCTCAAACTCTCACCACTCTCCCATCCCTCTCCCGAAAGAGACCAATGAGAAATTCCCATGCTGATCTCCCTGGAGAGAGGGGCCTAGAAGCTACAGGACCAGCTCACCGAAATGAAAGGGACCTGCCGGCTCTTCATTTGCTGAGCGTTGTCATGTTGTTATGAAAGACACCACACGACAGAGTGGCTAGTATCAATTCACAAATGACAAACAAAGGACTTCAAGCAACCCAATCAGACTCAACTCCACTGTTGGAGGCAAGGAGCATGGGTGTGTGTGTGGGGTGTGTGTGTGTGTGTGTGTGTGTGTGTGTGTGTGTGTGT